AAATAATTAGTTTAATGTGGCAAAACTAATCCATCTTTATCTACCCTCCTTCTTTTTCATTATCTGAGCTTTTTGTTTCTTATCTAAAATATCCAAAGCTGCAAATCTATTCATGCCAAGTCAGAGAGAGATTCAGCTTTTTTTCTTCAAAAAGCTTTAAAGTCTTGCATTTCACATTTAAGTCCTTAACCACCTGACAATGACTTTTGTGAGTTGTGTAGGAGGTCCAATTTCATTTTTTCTACAAACTGGTAACAAATTTCCCACCACCAATGAATAAAAAGTCCTCATTTACAATGCCACCATGGTCATGTATCAGAGTTCTGTGAGTTATTTTTGGGTTCTTTATTCTGTTCCATTGGTTCAAATGTCTAAACTTGCACTAATTGTACCTTGCCTAAATAATACAATATATCTTGATATCTGTTATAGCACGTATCCAGCTCCCCAACCCCCATTTTCTTTTTCAAGAATGTCTTGGCTCTTCCTGAAACTTTCATTTCCATGTAAATTTTATAAGCAGTCTTATCCAGATCCCCAAAGTGGGATTTTGATTAAAGTTGCACATAATCTCTACATACATTTGGGGAGAACTGGCATCTTTAAGTTTTCCTATCCATGAACAAGGGATACTGCAACATCTATTAAGTTCTTTAATGACTTCCTGTAAAACTTCATAATTTTCTGCATATAGGTCTTGCACACTTTATTCCATTTATTATTTTGTTTCTCTTCTTGATATTGTAAATGACTTCCTTTCAAGTGGTATTTTCAAATTGTTGCAAATATAACTGATTTTGTATATTTGCAGTCAGTCACCTTAATAAATCCTGTTTTTTAAAATTATGCTAACATATACATTGTATTTGTAACTTCAAACACTTTTATGTGCATAGGCTGGTGACATTAAGCATATTCACATTATGGGCCAACCACCACCACCACCCATGCATGGCCATAACTCTTTTCCATCTTCCCAAACTCAAACTCCATTCCTCTTAAACAGTGACTCCTCATTTCTCCCTCCTCCCATCCCTGGCAACCACCTTCTACTTTCTGTCTCTGTGAATCCCACTACTCTCAGAACCTATTACAGATGGAATCATACAGTATTTGTCCTTTTGTGTCTGGCTCATTTCACCTGGCATAATGTCTTCAAGATTCATCATGATGTAGCATGTGTCAGAGTTTCCCTTTCAGGGCTGAATAATGTTCCACTGTATGCTTATACCACATTTGTATATCCAATCATCTTTTGATGGATGTTTGGATCGTCTACACCTTTTGGCTATGAAATATGCTATGAACATTGGTGAAAAAATGTCTGTTGAGTCCCTGCTTTCAATTATTTTGGGTATATATGGGAAATGGAATTGCTGGGTCAAAATTTTATGTTTAATATTTTGATGATAAATCTTAATATTTTTCATCTTTCTTCCTGACTGTGCTGGGTAGAATGTTTATGTTGAATAAAAACAGTGAAAATGGGCATCCTTTACCTTGATATTAAAGAGAGTGTTCCTAAAATTTCCTCCACTTAGGATGTTATAGATTTTTGGGCACATTCCCTTCATTGGTTTAAAAGACCCCAAAACACTCTCAATTCCTTATTCATAAAAATTTTTAGCCCAAATGGGCATGAAACCTATATGATCTCTATTACTCTTCTAACTTGACCCAATACCCTACCCCTCATACCTTCTGGGACTCACGGCCCACCCTCTGCAAACCCCATCCCTAACCTTGTCTTTAAGCATTCTTTGTCGGTACAAACCTTGTAACTTGCTCTTCACAATTCCTTCTGCTTATTATCTCACTATCTCCCACAACATCCTCCAGCTTCTATTAAGTTCAAGTACTAGATCACTACTGTCCAACCGAATTTTGTAAGATGATGGAAATGTTCTAGGTCTGTGCTGGCCAATGTAATAGCCACTAGCCACGGATGACTACTGAGAGCTTGTAAAGTCACTAGTATGACAGAAGAACTGAATTTTAAATCTTTAATTCTAATGCTTTAAATTTAATAGCCACATGTGGCTAGTGGCTACCATACTGGGGCAAGAGAGCACTGGATTATAACACTTTTGTCACTGTCATTAATAGAGATACAAGTCATTTTTCCCATTATATCTTGAAGATTTTAGTAGTTGGAGAAAAAGAGTCCATGAACCAACATACTTATATCTTGGTGACTGCAATCTTCACACAAATTGAATCTCAAGTGGATCCTTCACCTTACTAAGCTTCCCTAGTCATTCTACTCTCGCACTTTCCTAGATGACTTTTCAACCTTTCTTCTTCCTCCAATATCTCTTCCCCATCACTTTCAACTAATAATCTCACTTCTTACGTCTTAAAACAAAGCATCAGAAGAACTTCTATAGAATCCCACTACCAAATCTACCAACTTATCTGCATCTATAACCAAATGCACCCTCCCCCTCCTATTAAAGTGGATAAACTGTTTCTGCTTCACTAGAAGTTCTGGACCTAATTTCCTCTTGCCTGAAATCAAGGGTAACACTGGAGTACCCCCTTGTTCTCTTATAATTTTTCTAATTCTTAGACCATCGCATCAGCATATAAACATACTGTCACGGACCTCACCTACAAGGAATGAAACAAAACTCCACAAATCTTCAGTCTCACATTCCTCTCCAGCTACTGCCAGATTTCTCTACAGCCCATCACCCCAGCCCTTTACAGCAAAATATTCAAATGAATGCATTCTTCATACTTGGTGTTCACTTTTTTCTCCACCATTCCCTCAAATCCAGTCTTTCACTCCACCACTGCACTGAACCCACCCTTACCGAAGTCACCAATCCTCTCTAAGTGTCAGACCCAGCAGTCATCCCAAAGACCTCCCCTTACTCAACTCATCAGTAGCCATTTGACACAGGGGATCCCTCTGTCCTGAAACACTTTCTTTACCTGACTGTGGAATATGGCTATCAATGATATTTCCTTTGTTGATTCCTTCTAATTTTTCAATCTCTAAATGTTGGAGGTTTCCAGGGTTTTTCATCTGTGTTCATGCTTCAGGTGATCCCACTCAATCTCACGTTCTAAATACTAACTTATGCTGATGATCACAAAAACATATCCCAGCTCCAACTGTTCCCTTAAATGTGTATATCCTGACTCTGAACTTATTGTTCCACATGACTATTTATCAGCAAACTCAAACTCGGTATGTGTAAAACAGAGCCCTCTGCCCCTGCTCCTTCTCTATACCTCTCTGAATAGTAGTAAATAGCATATTTGAATTGGATGACACCTCTCTGGATTCATTTACCATTAACTACTCCCTAGCTATTCCACTCTGTCAACACTGACACCTAGGTATCCTCTACACCTTGTCAGGGTCTTTGAACTGGCTGTTACCAGTTTGGAATTCCCTTCTCCAAAATACCTAAGTGAATGATTTTCTCAATTTCTCCAGGTCTCAAATCAACTGTCACTTATCAGAGGCTGTCTCACCAAGTATTGTATAAAATACTTCTCTGCTTTTTCTATCTCATTCACTTTGCTTTGTTTTTCTTCAGAGTGTTCATCTCTACTTGTATCATTTATTTATTTACAGTTTTACTATAGATGTTAGCTGTGTAAGAATGGAACTTTGCCTGTAACATAGAAATGTTTTATGTCAAGCAATTAGTGCCTGGCACAGTATGGAATATTCTCAAATTTAATATAAACACCAAAAATCTTACTTAGATTAATAATGAAACTGTTACTAAACTAAAAAATTTTTTCCATGCAAATACATGAGTAAGACAATGAAAATCTATTCAAGGAAAATAAACTTGAGGGAAATGTATTTTCATTTCTAAACCACAATACAAATCAGAGTATAATTCTTCCCCCTAAAACTTCAAAGATGGAATTCATAACTATGTAATTGTAATCATTTCAAATCCCCCATGAAATTCAAATTTTAAGAAAAGAGAATAAGGCCATCATTATAAAAAAATTTTTTTGCAGTAGGAAAACTCTTCACCCAGGTGTTTCTAAATATAAATAAAATATGAAGGGGATTATAGGTTCTTCCACACTAATGTCTTTCCAAAACAGAAACCTACCTTGCTTGGTCTTCACAAGAAACCTGTCTTTTCAGATACTAGTGAAAAGGAAAGGCAATTCTAGGCTGACAAAAAACAAAGTTCTATTTTGATAATACTGAAAAAGAGAAGCTTTTAAAAGCCAGTCGTGTCTGTATCACAGGACCCCTAAGAACACACTAATCCTTTGTACAAAGTATAATAAACAAAATCACTCCTCTTTTAACATTAAAGAACAGTATTAAATATGAACAGGTTTAACTGAATCTAAAATTTTTGCTTACATGAAATCTAAATGAGAAATAACTAGAAAGCTGCTTTTACGTCACTGCGATATAAAAACACACAAATTTGCCTAAGTCAAATTCATTTCCTGACCTTTTTAAGGACCAAATGTGGTTAAAATAATATCAGAGTATAGCAACACTGTAAAATTCCATGTTAACTATCAGCTTTTTCATATTTCTAAGGAAAAAAAACTCAGTTTACTGAATAAAAAAGTAAAATCTAACTCAGCAAATCTTATTGAAACCTACAATTTAGACCTTCTTCAAATTTTGCAAAAGCATAATCTTTATGCAATTAAATGTAGTTTTTTTTTTGCATTTACACTTTCCCATTAGTAAACATGAGACACTATATTGTCAAAGATGCTTACAGAGGTTCTACAAAAACGATTTCCTAGATGGCAGAAACCAAATGCCATGCTATAATTTATTTAACGCCCTATTACCTGACAAGCCTAATGAAACACCTTAGAGAAATGTGTGTTCTCTAAATGTAATGCTCTCTGTTCAAAGAACAGAATACAAAATAATTTAAAAATCCTTATCTTTTATCATAATATTAACCTCGGTAAGAACCACAAAGAAATGAATACATTTACTTCCAACAGGAAGTCTAACCTTTCATTAACTGAGGAAAGTTACTCACCGCCCATGTTTTAGTCAATCTGAAAATTGGGGCACTCTGTAAGCCAGAAACCACTGCCATAAGTGCATGAAGGTTATTCAGCTCATACAGTTTCTGAAGATTTAAGAAACAGCGGGAAGAAAGATGAAAAATAGCATGAATATAAGAAAACTTTAGATTAACAAATAAAATCTAGGCAACTAGTAGTTTTCCAGTATTTATTACTCTTATTGTTGAGATCTGTCTTTAAGAGTACATATTATCTTTACAGTAACTTGATTTTGGCCCACAACAGAACTTCCACATTCTTACTTGGCATTGTCCCACAACTCTGGAAACAAATATACTTCTAGTTGGAACCAAGTTAGGGTTCAGTATCAAATTTACTTTGTATGATCATGCACCCTGATTTCTAGAAAGCAGTCCTTATCCCGAAATACGAAGCTGCTGCCTTATGATCCAACTTTCAAGAATGGGTTTGTGCCCAGGATCCTGATCTGATTTCCCACTCAGTACTACCATTATTCCAGGGCTAGGTTTCAAACCTGCAGTTCTCCTCCATTTCTTGTTTCCTTTTCCCTGAACCCTTAGTTCTTCATTCATGCTGGGACATCCTCCTGGTTCCCAATACCAGCTCTTGCTTTTTACCTTCACCTTGCAGAAAACTATCTATGCTAGATCCTATCAGTTTCCCAAGAGATTTACTTGACATTTATGGCTAATTCCAAGATTTTTTCATATCACCATATGCTTACATCCAATGGTCCTATGTAAAATTCAGTCATTTAGAATTGTCCTCACCCACCATCAAGAGACTCCAGGGCAAAAATGACTGTTTTGAACATTTGAACAATTAATGAAAGGGGTGGGGTTCTGTTTCTCTAGAGAACCTTATCTAATATATCACCATAACTCAAGTCTCTAAGAATTCCCAAAAAGTTTTAAGAAATATGAACTCTAGTTAAAAAAAAAACAGGGAAATGGAAAAATACAAGGAAACAAGAAATCACAAATGGAGAAAAACATCAGGTATTGACTTCAAATAAAATGAGGATTAAGTATGAAAACATCAGGATGCAATATAAAAGCCAAAGAGTTTTTTAAAAATGTGAAACAAAGATAAAGAGACACAAAAGGTAGAGCAAAAATGTCATAATTATCTAACCGGAGTTACAGAAGATGATAAAAAACAGTGGGTAAAACAATATTTGAGAAATAATGGCAGATTATTATCTTAAATTACTACTCAAAGACACTAATTCTTAGGGGCCAATAAGCTCAAAGAATCCAAAGTAGAATAAAAAAAATAATAATTCTAAGTCTGGAATAGTGTTTTTGAGAACAAGGGTAACATAAAGATGCTTTCAGACAAAATAAAACAGAGCTTTAAAAAGAACCTTTTAAAAAATGGCGCCAGAATAAATATTCATATGGAAAAAATATGAACTGGAATCCATAATTCATACATACTATATATAAAATTTATTCCAGATGAATCACTCAAGTTCCAAAAATCAAAGCTATAAAACCTTTAAAGGGTAATAAATGAGTTATCTTTGATATGTTCTCAGAATTAGGGTAAGACTTCTTAAATGAGATATTCTTAAGACAATAAAAATTCATTGAAGATTAATAAAATTGACTACAAAAGTTAATCTCTATATCAAAATACGAAAAGAGTGATGGTAAAGCACGCTGCAAACAGGAAGACATATGCAAATCATAACAAGAGCTAACATCTAGAATTTTATATGTATATATGTAAAACTCCTATAAAAATCAATAGAGACTGACACAAAATAGAAAATTGTGCAAAGATCATGAACAGATATTTCAGGGAGAGAAAAAACCTAAATGGCCAACAAAGAAAAAATGTTTGTTCTTATCAGATTCAATGAAAGCTACTGGCCTGTCATTTCTTCTAAGGTAATTTTTTGAAGACCAAAAATTTGCCTTTTTCTGTTTCTAAGGCTTCAATCCTCACACGAGCACCAAAAAACTCACATACGAATGCTTTATAACAGTGGTGTTTATAACAGCAATAATCTGAAAACTCCATACTAGAATATGCTGAATAGTTTGTGGTATATGAAAACAAAAGAATACTTCACAACAGAGATATATCCCACACCATTCATTAACACTGCTGGGGCTGGTGGTGGGGGGGAACAAGTTATGAATGTATAAAAGTAATTATTTACTAATTTGATTTATATAAATTTTTAAAAATATACACAAAAATGTATTTTTCATGTATATGTGTATGTAT